GCTCAGATCTGAGGATCACAGTTCAAAGCCAGCCTGGGCTGGGAAGTTGGCTCAGTGGTAAAGTGCTTGCCTCGTATGCATGAGGCCCTGGGTTTCATTCCTCAGCACCACATAAGCAGAAAATAAGCTGGATATGGCGCTGTGGCTCAAGTGGTAGGGCCCTAGCCTTGAGCTGAAGAGCTGAGAGACAGAGTCCAGGCCCAGAATTCAGCCCCCACGACCAACAAAAAAAATAGCCAGCCCAGACAAGAAAGTCCAAATCCAGGAAAGTCCAAGTCTGTGAGACTCTTATCTCTAATAAACCACCAGAAAACTAGAAGTGGTGGTGTGGCTCAAGTGGTAGAGTGCTTGCCTTGAACAGAAGAGCTCAGCACCCAGGCCCAGAGTTCAAGCTCTACAACTAGGAAAAAAAAAAAAATTACCTGACTTTAGGAACATAGCTCACTGTTAATAAATCACTTGCCTAACATGTGCAAGGCTCTGTGCTCAATCCTCATTACCAGATTGAAAGAAATTAACTGACTTGTTCACAATTACCTAACTTCCTTATTGTTTCCTTTTGTTTTGTTTGCAGATCTTGAGCATATTAGACAAGTGTTCTATCATAAAGCTACATCCACAGTCTTTATTATCTAAATTGTAACCTAGAATTTTTATCTCGAGTAGACATCAACAGATCAGGCTGGGTGCTAATGGCTCACATCTGTAATCCTAGCTACTCAAGAAACTGAGATCTGAGGGCTGGGAAGTTGGCTCAGTGGTAGAGCGCTTGCCTTGTATGCCTAAGGCCCTGGGTTCGATTCCTCAGCACCACATAAGAAAAAAGCCGGAAGTGGCGCTGTAGCTCAAGTGGTAGAACGCTAGCCTTGAGCTGAAGAGCTGAGGGACAGTGCCTAGGCCCAGAGTTCAGGCCCCACGACCCGACCCCAAAAAAAAAAAAATAAAGAAACTGAGAACTGAGGATCACAGTTCAAGATCAGTCCAGGTAGAAAGGTCCATGAGACTCTTATCTCCAATTAACCACCAGAAAACTGGAAGTAGCACTGTGGCTTAAAGTGGTAGAGAGCTATAACTTGAGCAGAAGAGTTCAGGACAGTGCCCAGGCCCTGAGTTTAAGGCCCACGACCAAAATAAATAGTTATTACCTTCACGGAGCTTCCACTCTAATAATACAAGTTTAAATTTCAACAAGATAATACAAACATATTGAAACGTGAACTATCTAAGTATAATATTAGAATTAAAAACAGGGCTAGGATGTAGCTCAATGGCAAAGCATTTGCCTAGCAAGTGCAAAGTCCTGGTTTCAATGCCCAATGCCAAAAAATAAAAGACAAAAACAAAAATCCATCCCTAGAATTAAAAAGAAAGGAACTCTGTCCTGAAGACAATGGCAAGGAAAAGAAACACCAGATAGTCCCAGGAAAACCTGGTTGGTACCACTGTCAAGATGGGATGCTATCCTGAATGACTCTCCAGCATGTTACATACCATGTTTACACTGATGGCCAAAATGTGGCTAGAAAGAATTTGATTAACACACACACACACAAATGCCTTCTCAACATCTTCCCTCTCCTAAAATAGCATGACCTCTCCCAGAACCCTCCCTTACCCTCTTCCCCAGACTTCCTTTTCTTCATAAGGCTTACTACTTCCTGATGCTACCTAGCATTATGTGGTGGTTTATCTGTCTTTATAGAATGCAGACTTTCTGAAGATGGGAGTTTTTCCTCTGTACTTTACTACCATATTCCCAGTACCATGAGATCACAGGAAAACAATTTAAGTGCTCAATAAACATTGGTCCAGTAATGACTGAAGTCTTACTTAGGAACTTTCTCCCAATTCAAAAAAGGTTGAAGCCAGGCACCGGTGGCTCCTGTCAGTAATCCTAGCTACTCAGAAGACTGAGATCTGAAGATTTTGGTTCAAAGCTAGCTCCTTCAGGAAAGTCCCTGAAACTCTTTATCTCCTATTAATGGTACTATAGCAGAAGTGGTAGAGCTCTAGCCTTGAGCTGAAGAGCGCAAGGATATCCCCCAGGCCCAGAGTTCAAGTCCAACAACCAACCAAAAAAAAAAAAAAGGTGTGTGTGTTTTCATTAAAAGATGGAAGCCGGGCCTATAATCCTAGCTACTCAAGAGGCTGATATCTGAGGATCACAGTTCAAAGCCAGCCCAGGCAGGAAAGTCCATGAGATTCTTTTTTTATTTTTTTGGGGTCGGTCGTGGGGCTTGAACTCTGGGCCTGGGCGCTGTCCCTCAGCTCTTCAGCTCAAGGCGAGCGCTCTACCACT